CCCCAAAACCCCAAAACCCCAAAACCCCAAAACCCCAAAACCCCGTTATAAAACAACAATATTGAAATTTATTTTTAAAGCTTCATTCTAAACTTATTAAATGTCAATCTTTTTGACTTTGATCTCTTGCTTCTTGAAAAATGTGAGGTATCCCTATAAGCAGTTTCCTCAGAATTTTCATCTTGGAAACAGCTAGATTCTCCATTAATTGTGATATTATTGAAGATAATAATCTGGTTGACAACTCCAGATGATTTTTGACTCGTCTTCTTTTCCTGCAACAGCTTTTTCTTCTTCTTAATCTTTGGGGACTTCAACGAGTTCCTATTTTTATAAAACAGACACTGAGTGGCATTATTTTTCTTTGATACTGAAAGGTCAGGAAGCTTTATATCATACATATTGGTTGAGAATTTACACATCGCATCTGACCTCTCAGAAGATCTGTGCCCTCAAATTCCTGCAATTGTAGATTGGCTGTGGGTGCTAGAATCCTGCTTCATTTTACCTACAAATGAAAATACAATCTTACTGTCAAGAATGTTCATATTGTTTTTCAGGCATTCTTGATTATCAGCTATAACAACATTTATTATAAAATTTTAGTACATGTCTCAGCCAAAATAGAGGGTGAAGAAACTTCGCAAACATATTTCAAAAATTTAGAGCCAGGTTCTAATGAGAGCTTCAAATTTTGAAGTTTACCTTTAAAATGATTTAATTTTAAAGTCTGAATATATCCAAAACACGGATTATTGTTTTCTATGTATTTATTAATGATCCTCACCCAAAACGGCTGAGTCAAACACTCTTGTTTTCACAGGAATGCTCTTAATGGTTTTTGGAATTTCTAGAATGAATCAAATAGCTTACTTGTCTTGCTCTTAGGTCTGGCAGAGCCTACCAGCCATTGCTCCTTAGTTTTATTTCTTGAGCGAGTGATTTTGGAAGGGCTATAACTAGATGTTTTCCTTAACCCATATCAAATTAGAGGATCTTTTTCAGACGACTCTTTTGTGCTAGAAAAGTTAGTGTTTTCAATAACACAGCAAAGATCGCTATTAATATCATTTGTTGGCTTCTTCTCTACTGAAGGTTTTCTATCATCCTTTACTCACGATTTGTAACTATGATGATCATTTCAAAAAAATACGCTCCAGATGGTTTATATACAGGCCTTGAAATAGCCAGTTGATTCCTGTAAGCAATAGCCTTATTTTCTTCTATCTCCATGCTTCTCTTATTGTTAATATACTCAGTATTCCAGAACAAATTCCTCCTTGAGGAGGAATTGGAAGGAGTATGATCAGTTCTATCTACAAGCTCTTTTGTCAAATTATCATGCTCAATAGAGCTAAGTCCCAAGCTGAGCTGTCTCTAAAAGTATTTAATAACTTTACTTACCTCAATAAGCTCCTTCTTTTCCTTCGCATCTACCTAGAGAGTAAAGTATGAGCTAATACCTTCTCTATCTTGAAGAACTTATGAAATCCTTCAAGATCAGCTTGCTTGGACCTTGCTTCTTTAATAATCTTATTTTTATGGCCTCTAGAATGATAAGTCCTTAAAGGTACTTTTTAGTGCTATTTTTCTCTTGGGATACTTTAAAATTGGCTCTCAGAGCAGCCATTATGCTACCTGATCCTAGACAAGTCAGCAAAGATCTTACTTAATGAAGACTCTGTTGAACTTATCAATTTGACTCGGTGAGGCACAAGGTTAGTACAATTATTCTCCTTCACAGGAGATCAGGAATTAAAGTTTTTGCATTTGAAATTTGTCAAGTCTTGGTTTTGGAATAACTTTCTATTCATATTTTTAGAGGAAAGGGGTACTTATAAGTATTGATAACATTCTCCCTTGCTTTCTGAACGTCCTAAAATGATCAGAAGCTAAATATACCTTCGTAATAATTTGCTGTTTTCCAGGACTATTTTATATGGATATAATTTGATCTAAAATTTACCCTAAAAGTACCGATTCAACCTAGCAGGGATTATATTTTCAGGCTCTCTTTTAATCGTATCGACTGATCAATTCTCCTGCAGGATGTGATCATTGCTAAAAGCATGAACACTTCAGAATACCCAATACGGATGTTGTTTCAGCTGACTACATAATTCTTTGCTGGTGAATCAGAACTTTTGTGTTTATCTTCAATAGAGATTCTAAATTTAGCTCATAATTCGTACTTTTGTCAGTGATAATTATTTTGAACCTCTTTGAAGCCAGAACGTTCTATACAAGAAGTTTAATAAAATTTTATTACCGTTTGAATAACTTCCTCCTTTCTTTACTGGTAAGAACAATTTTGTATTCACTTCTGATCTTCCGATCATCTATAGATAAAGTTAATAAGCAGATTTTAAAGCAGCTTATGCCAAACTTGACATTTTTATATGATTTACTGTTAATAAATAATTTTATGACAAGTTCTTAATAATTTCAATAATACACAAGAATTTTGGGGTTTTGGGGTTTTGGGGTTTTGGGGTTTTGGGG